TCGTCGCTCTATCAAAAATTAAATATTTGACTCGAAAATATAAGAATTTAAAACTTTATTTTAGTCTCTCAACTTTCAAAATCATAAAATATAATATATAGAACCATAATTTTATTCTAAAATTTTCGGGGTGCTACAAAATCACACCCACAGCTTCAAAAACCCTAACCTAAACTCTCATTTTTCAAACATTTGACGATTGCTTCCCACTGCTGACGAAATGCGATTCCTAATCGCAAATCGCTAGTCACTTTTTCCTTATTAGTCTGCTAATTTCTACCCGACTCTTTCTCTCTTGATAAGACTTAGATTCCCATTTAACTCATTTTTTTATTGTTCTTTCTTTTATTAGTTGTTTATACACTTGTGAGTTGTGATTTTGGATTTTAAAAAAAATGATTGTTTATGTGCCTAGATGATTAATGAACTTGTTTGTGATTTAGAAAAAATGAATGATAGTACGTACAGATTATGTGAAAATATTAAAGTTCCTTAACTAATACTACTATATTCTACTTTCTTAAAGTTGTGAGAGAATAAAATTTGTCAATTTTCAATAAACTTGAACTCTATCATTTTTTGTACATTTAAACATATCATGTTCAGTCCTTATTTTTATCTCACTAGTAGGACGAAAGAAATTTTAACAAAACTATTACAGCTGAATGTTACTCTATCTTTACTAACTACTATATGACAAATATGAAAGGCAAACAAGAAAAGGTAAATAAAAAGCAAGAAAGATATATTCGTTCTATTAACATCTTTTAGGAACCAACTTTGAAAATAATTTATTCACGAGTTTCGTGAAAAAGATGAATGTAATTTAACATTTAACATTATTAGTTCTCATTTAAACTTATATGTTAACTTATTTTAAATATATTATTATAATGTCGATATGTAAATCGCGGATTAAAACCGACCCGTAAATTATGGTTTGGTTTGGTTTGAAAAATTCCAAACCGCAAGAAATGGTTTGAGCTGAAAATATAGCACAAACCGCTCAAATCGAACCGCGTCCACCCCTAATTAGAAGTTTTAATTTGTTTAAGTGTATTAATCTAATTTGTTCATATTCTTAGAGTTGGGGCCTAATTTCTTCATGATATTTTGAACTCAATTAATTAATTAGCAAATGAAATAGGAAAATGATACTTTTGAGCTCAATTATTATTTGGCATTTTTATTTAGAAAAAGATTAAAATAATAATATAAAAAATTATAAAAATTATGGAGATTCGATTTTTCGATTCTTGGTCTTTAATCGAGAACCGGACCAAACCCTAAGGAATTTTGCGTTGATGGTATTTCTTTTTGTTTTTTATTTTATTTTATGATAGAATTTTGGTAGATAAATTAATGGGATAATTGCAATAAAAGTTCCAAACCTTTGAAATACTAGCAAACTTTCCCCAAACATTTTCTTTGTTGAAGCAGTCACCTCTACTCTTTCCAAACGTTGCAAGTGAGACCATTTTGGACTGTTTTCATCAACAATTTCGTTAATTGATTAAAAATTTAACTTTAACCACGTCTTTAATATTTAAAAAAGGGTAAAAGAGTAACTTTATATTTATCACATTAAATAATTATATTTATTAAATTAAAAAATAAAAAATGAGACAAAACAATCAGTTCTTCTTCCCACCCCCTACCCCCAACTTAAAATTTAAAAGCATGTTTGGGAGGGATTAAAATCAGATTAAAATTGAAAATATAGTCGTTATTGTTAACTTTTATTAGACGGGTGGAACCCAATAATGGTCATATTTTTAATTTTAATTGGATTTTGAACCCTCCCGAACGGGGCCTAAATCAGTCACCCGATCCACCGCCACCTCCACCACCAACCAACTTCCAGCGGCCACCACCATCCACCCCATCACAATTGCCACCCAACAACCTCCATCACCCAACCCCAAATCCTAAATTAAAACTAAAATACGTAGGGTGGATAGCTTGTATTTTGGTTTGCTACTGGAAAGCAGCTTTCAATCGAATGAAGCATCGAAAGGTCCAAGAACTTAGTGGACAAGCTTAGAGTGATGGTAGACGAAGTGAGAGGTAAATCGACATATACTATTATGGAAAATGGAAGATGCTGCTAAATCGATGAAGATGCAAGGCAAAATATCATTGAATTTAAAAGCCAAATCGAGGAAAATGGAAGATGCCATAGAGATGAAGGATGCCACTAAATCCAAAATCGAAAATGGAAAGTTCTTTACAAGAGGTAAGGCAAAAATTTGTTGAATTTACAAACCAAATCGAAGGGGTCGAGAGAATAACCTAGAAGTTCAAGACATGAATTCACGTGGCATTTTTTGTACTTGAATAGACTGTAATAGCCATTGCAAAGCTTCTTTACTGCTTGTTGGGCTTTTGTTTACCAAATTTTGGTTTTACATAGCTTGTATTTTGATTTTAATTTGAGATTCAGAGTTGGGTGGCGGAGGTTGTTGGGTGGCGATTATGATGAGGTGGATGGTGGTGGCCGATAGCAGGTAGTTGGTGGTTAGTGGCGGTGGTTGGGTAGCTGATTCTAGGTTTGAGGTGGAGGTTGGAATAGGGGGTGAGAGGAAGAAGATGATTGTTTTGTTTTGTCTTATTTCTTATTTTTCAATTTGATTAATTTAATTATTTAATGTAATAAATGGAAAGTTACTCCTTTGTCCCTTTTTAAAATATTAAAAATGTGGTCAAAGTTAAATTTTTTGTCAACTAACGGAAATGTGGATGGAAACCGTCCAAAAGGCAATGTTTGGAAATGTTATGGTTAAATTTTTTGTCAACTAATGGAAATGTGGATGGAAACCATCCAAAAAACATTTGGAAATGTTATTGGTGACGGCTGCAACAAATGAAATGTTTGGAGAAAGTTTGCTAGTGTTTTAATCAACAATTTTGTTGCAATTATCCCTAAATTAAATTTACAAGAATAAATTATTTTACTAAAGAAGGAAAATTTTGATTTACAAATTTCATTGGTCATATTATTTAGAACCAAAGTTCGTAAAATTTGAAGGACTTACTTAAATTTTAGGGCCTTAAAAGTTGATTTATTTATCTAGAAGTTAACCATACTCTAAAAATAAAATTTTAAACCATACTCTAAAAATAAAATTTTAGATAGTCATATAACGTGGTGGACCAATTCCTTGTAGCTCTTACGTAAATGTTTGATTAATGAATGTGCATATCACTTGTTCTTTCTTTGACTCTGACAAAACACGAGGTCAAACAATGATCGATCACCACAAATGTAAAGTTTGCTAGAAAATAGTTGAACAAATTACCAAGATCTTGGTAATGGTGGCCCTACTAATCCAGTTCACTGAATCTACATGCACATTTGATATACGAATGGTAATGAGGTGCTACACGCAATATTTGTTAGTCAAGTCAGCGTATAAGGTAACAAATTGTTGATGGTGATGAATGGAGTGCAAATACATAAAATTCAATGAGCATTATTAAGCACTTGTTGGATGATTATTAAAATGTTTAACTCATTATTGTATAGCGTGTGATAGCAGGATTGCTATCACATTTTCATAAGAATTAAAAATATACATTAATTTTATTTTCACTACCATATAAACTAATATCCATCAACTTTGCTTTGAAATCATTATCGTATTGAATAAGCCACAGCAACCACAAAATGGAATTTTGAAAGATCATTTGTTGAACAAACCACTAAAATCTTGGTAAAGGTGGGCATACTAATTCAGTCCTTTGAATCTACATGTACGAATGGGAAGTATCTGCTGTCTCCATTTATGGGAGTATTCAAATTGCATTAGCGAAGAAAAATCAATATTTTATTTTTTTTCTCACATTTGGAGAGAATCGTAACCAAGGTTCTCCCGTCACATGAGCAAGTTGACAATCTTATCAAGTTACTGTGAGCAAGAGAACAATTTCATCAAGTAAATCTTTATTTACCAAAAGTCTAATGTAACTATAGTCGTTTTGAATTCTATCTTAAGAGATCAATCAGATGAAGATGTAACTCATTCTTATGTATTGTACTTATTTACTCTTTATTTGATGTGAAATTTATCTTTCACATGCTCTGTCACATGGTGGCTTGTTTGGACATATCAGTCGTGAAATCCTTTTAAGCTTAATGACTATAATACTATATCAAGACTTGGAATTTAATTTTAAGAGGTAACCTTGCAAAGAGGAATAATCCAACATCTTTTTCTAATTTTTTTTTTTTTAATTTTCTTAAAAAGGACTGGCAAAGCCAGGCTCTCGACCTGCCGAGCCACCAGACCCAGTTTTAATCCCCTAGTCTACTTTCAAGTTTCATGCAAGGAAATGGAGATGAAATGGAACCATGACACACATTGATGCCCAGGTCCAAGTTCATGCTCCATAATATCAAAGCCATTGCAAATATTAAGAATCCAACACCAAAGAGTACATAAAGTGATATATGAGTTTCATCATTACATCTGAAGCAGTAGTTTCTTAGTACAAAACAAAGGACCGCAATACATGGCCCTGTTCAAACAGCATTATCCACAAAACAAAATAGCAGGGAATCAGAAACAATAGACTGGAGAATCCTATGAAAAAACCTGGTCTCGACAGCTAAAATCTAGTTTATTATATTAACGAGTATTATGTACCAGACGTGGTCAGCTTACAAATAACTTGAACTCCCGGGGACATTGATTGAAGTTGAGCATCAAAAGTGAAAACCATGAGGCAAGGACTTCAAAATTGAATTCCCAGGAAAACAAATGCAGCGAAAGACGCAGCCTCCTGACCGAGAGGCTCAAGGGTTACAAGAGTCTATTCAAACAAAAGGATGCCTGCAAAAAAGGGGGACGAAAAAGGACACGCCATGGTCTCCCTGGAAATCAACCAAGTCAACTGAGATAAACGCACACGGTAGATAGGAAAAATCCTCCCAAGAAGTGAGTGGAATCATCTTTTGAGTTCCTCCAGGAAATGTGTACAGATTTTCCTTCTCAATTTGCTTATGATAGAATATTGCATTTCCACAAATTCTCTGTGAGAAACTGAATCGTGCTGTTACTAATGGAATTACAATGCTGGAGATTCAATCCTACCAGTGTCCTTCCCAATTTTTTCAGAGACGGCATGCTCTTGTTCGATATCATCGAGCAGCCCGACAAGGAAAGAATCTGCAATTTTGTTTGCACTCCATAGGATAAAGCAACAATACCAGAATCAGTGATGGAACACTTAGAAACATCAATATCACGGAGCAAAGGGCAGTTCACCGCCAGTGCCATTAAACTTGCATCGCTAAGATTTCTACAACCATCAAGATTTAGTGATTCGAGTGTTCCACCATGCAATTTAGCAAGGGCAAATACTATTTCATCTGTCAAATTTAGGCAGCCACTAAGATTAACCTTAGCCAATCCTGTCTGAAAGCTCTCCAAAAGAGGCAGAAGACCAGAATCAGTGATTCCACAAAGCCCACTGAGATCTAAGTGATGTAGCTGGGGACATAGCTTCCCAATTATAGCCAAGCTAGTACTTCCAAATTCCGGGCAGCTTCGGATGGACAAGGATCGAAGATATTCACAAGGGGATAGCATTGAAGATTCGGGAGACAGATCCTTAACTGCCATGCACTTATTCAGGGAAAGAGACTTTAACTTCGAATTACAGTTCGAAAGAGCATTTAAAATCCCGGTTTGGGTGATCCGGTTGCACTCGTCTAATTGCAAGCTCTCAAGAGAGTTGGCGCCTTTGGCGAATGCTACAAGCCCATTGTCGGACACAAAGCAGCACTTGTGAAAGCATATCTGTTTAAGCTTTGGACAGCCCCTTCCGAGTGCTTCAAGGCTCAAATCAGTCATTCCCCTACACGAAGAGATTGTCAAAGATGAAAGGCTATGGAGACCTTGCGCATTACCCATCACCCAAAAGCCCTTCTGGCTCATGTTTTGCAGCCCACTGAGGACAAGATTGGTAATTGCCTTCCCGTAGTGCCCTATTACAGCAGCCGAGAAATCTGTGATGTTTAGAGTTTGAAGTTTCACCTTTGTCAAGACTGCAGAAGCTAATGACAAGATACTCGCAACACCCCGATCCCCAACAAATGGGCAGTCTTTGATAGAAATCGACCGAAGTTTAATGCAATATTTTCCAACGGCTTGCAGACTCTCATTCCCAACATTTGAACAAGATTCAATTGTTAATGAAGTTAAATCAGGACAGTTTTCCGCAATTGCAAGTACACCTTTGTTTGAAATTGAAGGACATTGGCAAAGATCTAGCTTCTTTAATGAATGACACTCCCTTGCAATTTCAAAGAGACCTTCATCACCAATAGATGGAACATTCCACAGTGAAAGAACCCTGAGCGACGGGCAACCATGAGCAATTGCTGACAACCCAACATTAGAAACACTCCGAAGAGAGTTGCTTCCACGAATAGAAAGCTTTCCAAGTCCACCCCGGCTGGCAGTACAAACTGCAATAGCGGCAAGCCTAACATCCGTTGCTTTCCTTCCGTCTACACTCCTCGTGAGGTATCCATCACACTCCACTTCAAGATCCTGATCTTCAGAGCTCAGTTCTGTATTATTGGAAACCTGATTATTTGAAATTGGATCTACTTTCCCTCGAGGGGCTTTGCTCCCGTAAAACTCAGAGCTACGGATGCTACTCAAGAGCATTAGCCAACGCTTGGAAACACAAGCAGTGGCACTCCTCTCTCGGCCTGGTAAGCGTCTGAGGATCTCAAATAAACATTCGTCTGGTAGAATCTCAATGGAATTTTTTTTAGCCTCAAATATACTGCTTTTAACAACTAATGAAGCACTGATACGATGGCGCTTCCTTGAAGGGTGGTAACCATCCTTACGGGAACAAAATGAACTCCCAGTAGAGAAATCTCCATCACCTGAAAACGCAAAGAATTAACATCAGCTAACTTTGTCAACCTTATTCATCAACACAGTGGTTCGAGAGCAAATTTTCATTTATTAATCTTCTCTTAGATATTTTTCTTCATTGCAAAGGAATTTACAAATCAATGTTACGTACATGAAATTAGTTATACCTGTAAGTATTTTCCCTATAGTAAACATTAATCCATCTAAGGATCTTAGACAAGCAATTTTAAATACAGAAGGAGAAAATTAAGCTCTTGCATACCAAATATTCAACCAGAATTGCACAACTTCAATCTGTGTGAGACAGCTCAATGCTCAAAACTAAATGAAGTTCCAAACCAATCAAGAAAGGAAGTAAATTTTAGGAAAATAGGTAGGAAAATTATTCAATTCCCAAACTATGGTATTCATGTACAAAATCCACAGCGAAAACCAGTATATTAAAAACTGATAAATAATGGAAGAAAAAAATTTAAAAGAAACTCACCACTATAATTAACAAGAGTAGGCATTGCTATTCCTCACAAGAAAACCCCAAATGAGAGCCCAAAAGATCAAATATTTCAGCACAAACAGCAAAACCCAGATCAGATTTCCGTCCAAGATTTGAATTCCAGGACAAAAATTTCCCAAGATTTTCTTAAAGAAACGCCAATAAGGTAGGGTAAAAAGAAACCACCAGGAGTAAAACTTAGCTCTTTTTTTATTTTGTTCTGCAAATATTATGCAAATGTGGTCATACATATACAAGGCTGTCATATTATATATAGCGTGTGTGTCAAGTGTCAAGCATCACTGTCTTCTAACATTTTACACAGTTCAATGAATCATTCCCAAAATTCATTTTGTAACTTAAATACTTAATTAAAAGTTGGTCAAGTAGTTTGTTTTTTTATTGTCAGTTAAGTATATCTGCAAACAAAATATGACAACTTTTAGGAACCTGTTTCTTATTTTCATTCTCGTTTTTCTACTCAATTGGATATATGGCCCCTGTTTGGGCCACATTCTTTTTTTCATTCTCATTCTTCTACTCATTTTCAACCACATATTTTTCAATAAAATAATATTTTCCATCATATCAATAACTTTTCCTTCTGTTTCAACCACATATTCACCATTACATCACAAAAAAAATGTATTCTTTCCATTTTAATGTGAATCAAACACACTCATAGAGTGCATAAAAACGGTACATAAAGAATTACACAAAATGATGTGAAAGGAAAAAATTAAATGAAAAAGTCAATTGTATTTTAAACTGACAAATAATAGAGCGTCATTTATATAATTTATTATGTCAACTTTAATGTACATGTAGTAAGATCCCAACTTTTAACAGCTAATCGATGTCCAAGGTTTCTCTAAACCGTGATTATAAGCAAATACAACTTGCAAAGGCAGTACATTGCATTCTGTTCTTTGGGCACCTAAGTGGATGGTCAAGTTGCCCACTTTTTAAAATTTCTTTACTTTTCAAATCAAATAACTATTAAATTATCTGAACTAATCACAATTTGAAGTTGATACATGCATTAGTATGACATGTTTGACAAAGCATATGGATCACTGTTATACATTAATAAAATGAGAGAAAAAAAATTAAAATCTTATTTATCATAGTACTTTGATTATGGTCAAGTACCGTCTATCAAAGGGATGAACAGAGAAAAAAAAATATGTAATGTGGGTAATAACAACTTTTAGTAAAAGAAATTAAAATATTTGTATATACATCTAGTATTTAAGAGATATGAGGGAACTATAATAACAGCTTTACGGGGCGGCCTCCCCCTAACTACGGGCTTGTAGTTTCAAATTTGGTTAGCTCTATGAGATGGTTGAGATGAAGGTTCGACCACTGCATAGACTCCAATATCAAAGGCAGTTAGACACTATTTTAACATACACTTTGGTAGGTTGATCTCAACGTGTCTTGTATGAGCTTGAACCTTCAAATTTGGGTCATTTGTGTCATTCTTTTATTATTTTATGAATATATATGTCGAAGTTAGAGATCAGCATGTCCTCCTCAACGCGAATGAGTCCCTATTTGACAATCATTAAAATGAATTTTTTTGAAAACAAAATAAAAAGATTGAAATTGTGATTTTGTTGGAGAATATGTGGTTAAAAAGTAAGAAAAAATATTGAATATACGTATAAAATACTTATAGTGAGAATGTATAGTTAAAAATGAGTTTGAATTTTTTTTTCTTATAATTAATGGTTTGTCAAATGCGGGCTAAATATTGAAAGTGGAGCTTAGCGGTGCAAAAGAGCTCGTAGGCTTGGCCGGCTCGGGCTGGCTCGGAAAAAGCTAGAGGCAAGCCCGTCTCTACAGAGCCCAAGCTCGGGCCGGCCCGTGGCCCGGGCAAGCCTCCTATTTATATAAAAAAAAATTGAAGGCAACTGCTTGCAACTGCAGGCAGCATAAGAAAAAAAGAACCAAAAAATTTGAGCCGGCTCGGCCCTCTAAGTCTCGGACCGAGCCTCATTTTTTTTGGTCCGACTCGGCTCAGGCCAAAAAAAGCTCGGCCTAAAAAATCTCAAGTTCGGCTCTAACTTTTTTTTTCGACTCGAGCTCGGCTCGGCTCGTTGACATAGTTAGTGGAGCTCCAATCTCCATCTCGTCCATACGTCTTGGCTATAGTGTCATGCAATGACGCCCCAATGGCACATCTCCAAGTGGTAAAAGGGGAAGGTAGAAGAACTCCAGCTTTGCTTGAGGCTGCCGCGTCAAGGGTTCGAATCCTGAAATATGGATTTGGCTCTTGGGTAAGTGCAAGTCTACACGCAGCCTTCCACTCTATACCCTTCGAAATATAACCTGCGATTTACCTCTTTCACCAAGGTCCACAACAGCTCTTGGGTAAGTGCAAGTGTACACGCAGCCTTCCACTCTATACCCTTGGAAATATAACCTGCGATTTACCTCTTTCACCAAGGTCCAGAACATGACAGGTGGGGGCCGCTAAGGATGAGGTTCATCCTTTTTATAGTGGAATGCAATGAAATTTCTCCCTGTCCCATCTCAATTGCTTCTTGAGATCCTTATTGTTTCAATTTAAGAAATATTTTAGTTCTTTGTACATGTTCAATTGGGCAGATTAATTGCACTGTAAAATTGAAAGTTGCCTCAATCAGTTTCAAGGAAATTTTGACACAAAACTGATACATCAATCTCAATCACGCCGTTTCATTGCTTCGATTATCTGAGTTGTAAATAAACTTTTTAACTTTGTGGGGTCCGATGGTTTAACCGTAGTGATTTTTTCTTTTCTGCGCCTTACCATTTCTTTCTACTAACATATTTTCATGTATTGTATCACGTCGCGTGGTGTCTATTTGCGTACAATCGAGATGGTAGTTGTAATTACGTCTAATCCTTTTGTCGTGATAAAGTTGGCTAAGCATGCAGCAAGTTATTAAGCCCATATTTGAGTCATATTAAAATTTTCATTTTCATTCTTTTACTCATTTTCAACTACATATTCTTTAATAAAATAATATTTTCCATCACATCAATAACTTTTCCTTCCTTTTCAACCACATATTCCTCATCATATCAACAATAAAAATGCATTCTTACTCCCAAAATGTGCACCAAACAGAAACCACACGTTCTCCATCAATCTATTATTCCAAAATTCATTCTTCAAAAATAATGTGGGTCAAACACACTCTAATTACATGGGTGATGATTGGTTCATCGACTCAAATTTTATTATTATTAACTGATTTTGGTTGAAATCTAACTTAATCACTGACGATCGAGAACAATGCTACAGGAACGGACTCAAATTCAGGCTTAAATTCAGAGAGAACACGTGTCGACCTCGGATTGGACCGTTTGAAAAAAAAATAAACACAACACCCGATCATTTTTCTACACATCACCATGTCTCCTCCAAACCTGTTTTTGGGCTTGGATGAGCAGCATTACTGCATTATTGAACGATCAGTTCCTCTGAAAAAAATTTAGTACTCTCAATCATGAGTTCTTAGTACTCTTTGATATGATTGAGCTGACATGTATATTATATAATTGGGATGCAATGTGTGTGTGTGTCAATTAAGTCCCTGTTTGTTTGATGGTTATTATTTCAAAAAAAAAAATGATGTTTTTAATAGCAAATTTTTGGAGATTGTGTGGTTGAAAAGTAGTTTTTTTTTGAATTTATATGCAAAATATTTTATTATATGAATGTTGTTGAAATAAGTATGAAAATTAAAAAAATTTGTTTTAAAGGGAAACTTACATTATATAAATAGTATAGAGTATTGAATTTCATATTCCGAGAGTATTAGAACTCTTCTCTAGCGTGCATCAAGGAGAGTCAAGACATTTGTTATTGCTGTAGTTGAAAACTTGTGAATTTCTAAAATATGTGGTTAAAATTAAGTCTTTGTTTGAGCCACATTAAAATTTTCATTTCATTATTCTATTTATTTTCAACCACACATTTTTTAATAAAATAATATTTTACATCACATCAACAATTTTTCCTACTTTTTCAACCACACATTCCCCATCAATCTAGTATTCCAAAATATATTCTTCCAAAATAATGTGGCTCAAACATATCCTAATTGCTGACTTTAATTTAAATTTAAATTTTAATTTTAATACCTACCAAATATGTGTTTAATCTAATACTGCGCGCCAAACATGCTAATATTTATCAAATGTGCCCATATTAGTGTGGTACTAAAAATGTTATTAGTTAATTTGATCCCATTCTATTTAAGTTTTTTTTGTTCTAACTCATTTTAAATTACATATTTTTTAAATAAAATAACTTTGTTCGTAAATCAGAAGTTTATCTATATTTTTTTAACCACACAATATGCAAAAATAATTATTTTACACAAATTATTCTCGGACAAAGAGCTCAAACATGTGATAAATATGTTCAAAGTCTATGAGTATGTTTCATGGTGCTTGTAAAATTTTGCTTTGTTCTTTGAAATTTTAGTGCATGTTTTACGTAAATGGAATGCACAGCCAGAGAATTTAGATTGAGACCAATACTGGTCCAACAGTGGATAGGATCAATGAATCTCCCTAGAAGTCAACATGTCTCAGGGAGAATTTGACATTTCAATTTTTTTTTTTAATGGTAATTTTCGTAATAATATTTGCTATATTTTATATAAAATGAACCCTAGTTAGTATATCTATGTCAACATGCGACGTGCAATCTATGCTAATTTCGAAAATTATTTGTCATACAATATATTTATCGTGTGCTAGAAATGTCACTAGATATGTAATGCTTATATCTCTAACGATAAATATAAGATTTTACGTTCCCCTCGTCAATCTCCTGATATTTTTAATAAGTTGGTAAATGTACGCATCAAACCCGAATGTACGTTCAAAGAATTTGTTTTCTTGATGTGCATCGCCAGAGAATAAAATTGAGACCAAAACTGGTCCAACAGAGGGCTGGGATCAATGAATCTCACTGTAAGCGTATTTATAACCATTGGAACTCTTCTTGGCTAA